AAATAGTCTCAGAGGAACATAATCCTATGAGTATCCATCAACCCAAATATGCCACAGGTTCACCATCAAGATGAAGATAAGTTAGTTAAAACATTTTAGATTTATTGAACAACACAGTTTAAAATATGGGCATCTGACGGCAAGACAAGTGCACCAGGAAAATGATGGTGATATTACTGCAACAAAAGACCAATAAAGCCATGGACCTTCTACCAATATCAAAACTCACCAGGTTATTCTGCTAGTATAAAAAATAAAAATAACACCCCAATACAGAAAAATTATTGCAGTGGTTCTAGAAAGTTTAACATCTGATCTGATAAATTATAGAACCATTCTGAAGGGAAACAGAAAAACTGACTTCTTGGTTAAATGAACTTCACTAAGCAATTATTACTGTGTATATTCAGATCCTAAGAGGTGATAGGTTTTCCTTCTGTAACCTGGTGAAAAGACTAACTGTATTTATAATGCTATGCCAAATAAGTTTAAAATGTATAAAGTCATGATAAAATGCACTAATGTTTTTCTTATTGTGAAGCTTGCAAGTTTCTTCTTAAAGTTTGGCAAAAAAGCATGTATTAAAATATTTTTATGGTGATATTTAAATGTTTTTTCTAATATTTTAAAGTGCAATAAAATTTAAAATAACCTATTTAATCTAGCAGGAATTTTTTAAAAAAACCCATTTTCATGATATTTTCAGCAACCTCCAAAAAAAAAAGTCTGACTCCATTTTCTGTCTTGATTTTAGAAAAAAAACAAACCCTTCCTAACCATGTGTGTTCTAAAGTCAAAATATGGCATCAGTTGTTTTTGTTTCAGGGTATACCACATACTCCCAGATAAGATGTGTTAATGTGAAATCAGAATTAACATACATTTTTCTATTAACAATAAAATAATAACTAAATATCTTACAGATTTGAAATGTTCAGCACTAAATTTTACAGAAATATTTTCACTTGTGAAGAGCTAGAAACATTATTTATGAAGGAGTCGGAATCTTTGAATGAAAATATTGTATGTAAAATCTATTTTCAAATCACAAATTCATTTGTGTATGTAGGAGACATATCTAAATACTAGCAACTTGTGAAAAAGAAGTTTTCAGCTATACTTAACTAACAGAAATCATTTTTTTATATAAAAGTGCTGAAACTAATACTCCTTTACTCCACAGATTATCATTTTTATAAGCACAGTCAATAATATAGCAGTGGGCCATATTCCTAAGTAAAAGCAACCAAAGACAGATTTAAGCAACCCCCTTCCTGACATCCTGTTTACTTTGACATGAAAGGCAAACTAATCAAAATATGGATTAACAGCAAATACTCTTGCAAATAACATACTACCTAATATACTATAGCTGACTGTAAACGAAGTGATCTTTGGATTAAACTGACCAGTATTGTGCCACTGGAGATTACCCTCATTATGCATTCAAGTTAAATACTGAAATTAGCTTTACAGTAAAAGCGTTTTGTGGTCAAGAAGTACTGAAGTTTATACTGTAATGTGAACTGTGTATAACCATGGCTAAAAGCTGTCTTGTTGAACTAGAACTAACATATCTGTAAACATGAAAGTACAAAAGGCTATAAGAAAAATACATTATTATTAATAACATGTTGCACATGTGTTAGACCATGTTTCACGTCAACTTAATTAACATATATAGATTAGTTTCACCAGGTATATTATGCCAAGCTTATGAACAAATATTCAGTATACTTTACAAATTATTGCATTCTTACTTTTGATTACAGTGAATAAGACCAAAAATAACCTTTTCTGTATTTTATATAGAATTAAAGTAGTATTCCTTGGCAGAAAGATTTTATTCCAGTTTACAGGTAGTAAGTTTAATGTTTGCTTTTGTTAAGTAGCAGTCCACTTCTTACAATAATTGTTCAACTACATACATAACTACGTAGTTACAAGATTTAATCAAGTTTATGTAATTTCAAAACTTTGTGGACTTGCTTGTGCTATAAAAGAGAATAATGTATTACAGAGCTTCAGATTGGATATTACTAAATGAATCTTCTCTAACATAGCACAATAAAAATATGTCATGATTTCTGCAGCTTTTCTGAAATCTCTATGATTATTAGCTGTGTAAATATTTTTTTGACTGTAGACTGTAATAAGGATTACAATGTGTAGGAGGAAAAGTGGATTGCTGTTTTAATATACATAAAGTCAAGTTGAGATTATTAATTCTCTATCTCAATATACATAAATTCTGTAAAGTAAAATTATGTTGAATACTGCAAAGGAAACATTTTAAGAATACATAGTAATTAGAGGAGAGAGAAGTATCACCTAGTGATGGGAAGGTTTCAGTGAACCAGAGAGTGTGTGGTGAGACCTGGGTCATCAGTTGGTATTAATTATAGAATTTTAGATTCATTGAATAGCATACATTGTAAAATTATGATTTTAATTGAATGAAGTAGCACAGGTTTGAGGTTCATGAAAAAGTAAGAAACAAGGACAAATGTTTAAAGTCATATATATATAAGATAAAGAACAGAATATACTTCTAAACATTAAATCTGAAGTGAAGCTAATAATATATTATACATATATTAATGACATGCAGTGAGTTTTCAAGCAGGTTATGCAGTAATAACTTATCAAGAATAATAATAAAAATAACACATACAAAGAACAGACTTACCCACCCTATTTGTACATGAAATCCATCCTACAATCACTCTTTAAAATTCTTCTATAACAGCATCATAAAAACTCTTTACTTCTTAGCTTGTGAAGTAACAAATCAAGGAAAGCAAAGGTTGCAACGTATATCTTGTTTACATTGAATTTCTGTGCATGCACTAGCTGTCATGCTATTTTAATGCAGCATGACTTGCACAATTTTACTAAAAGGTGGTAGAAACACCACTCCAGAAAACAGGATACTGCTGGAAGTGCAAGGTTAGGCATGCAGAGCTTGTGTAGCATGACTTGATTGAGACTAAACATGCAGAGTTCTTGCAGCACGAGGTGAGAATACTGCCATAGTGTGAAGAAACAATAAACAAACAGTAAAATAATAATAATAAATATAAAAGATGCATTTCAATGTATAATGTTATTACCACATTTTTAAGTTTTTTGATTGGTCCTGCAGTGCATGACTTGCATACAACAGATATATATACACACACTTGAGTAAAGTAGCAGAATAAAAGTGAATAAATATACTTTATTGTGTGGAGTAACAATTAAATAAAGACTTAGAGTATTTTTAGTCTAATATTTTGTAAGTATATAGGGTTTGTTATTTTATGTTACCTCCAATGTTATATCCTACACACTGTTTCTCTCCATTCTGTTTTTGGAGATGTTAAAGTTCAAAGGTTGTTATCATATTGCTGCAGTATATATTCTATTTCTATATTATTTAAGCTGAAATTTGTTTCTTTCTACTTCCAAATGTATACCATCCATCTATAGATTAGTTAGGGCCATCTGATATGATACTTATCCACTGATAACAATGTGTGTGTGTGTGTTTATGGAGAGTTTAAAATTAGTTCATTCCATAAAAAACACAGCAAATAATTTAAAGCCCAAGAATGTGTCTTTTTGGAACACACAGACACTAAAGGTATTCATGGAGAAAAGAGTGCTTGGAGTTCTTAATTTCAATTGAAATTTTGAATATTTTTTTCAATTTTCTTTGTGAAGTACACTAAATAAATGTTACAAAAATGATAAACAATTATAAAATATTTTTGACTTAAAAATACTTAAATTATTATTTCTATTTAAATTTTGAAATTTGATATGCACTCAGCACCTGAAAGGTAATTTGTGGTCCTAATAAGGTTAATAAGTGTTTTCTTTAACATTAGCTGCCTATAGAACTTATGACACTGTGGCTTACAACTTCTTGTAGTTTTTATCTCATACATAAATGAAAAATGGTGGTTTAAACACTACTTATCAATTAAGCTTTTCCACTTTGATCTTCCTATTGCAGTAGAATCTTAAGAAAGAAAGGTTTGATTCTCCCTTTCCCATGTTAAGAGTTATCTATTCACTCTGGTTGTCACAGCATGTGACAAACAGTGGTTTTTATCCTATCTTCCCACCAGATTTATCCTCTTTTACTCTAACCTCCCACAGTATGTCCATGATAAAATGATTCTCCCTTCCGTGCTAATTAATTCTTTTTTACCTTACCACAATAAATGCCTGACAAGCGATAGTCTATCCCTATAAACTTATGCCTCCCCCCTTTACTATAATTATTACCCTAACACAGTACACACATCAGAAAAAGGGCATTTGATTCTCCCTTTTCTTCTAGGTTTATTTTCTTTCACTCTACCCTTCAGCAGTGTGTATGTGATAAATAGTTGTTTGATTCTCCCTTTTCCCCCTGCTAGATTTGTCTTCTTTTACTGTATTCTCCCACAGCATCTACATATATAAATGAGCCTCCCTTTTCAAATTATATATATTTTTCCTCACATACATTGAGGTCATGTTCTTCTTGCCAACTTGGTTTTTTCCTTGATGTTACGCTTCCACAGTACAAACACAACAAATGATGGTTTGGTCCCCCCCCCCCCTTCTTTCCTGCTGTTTTTGTACCTTAAACTTTAACACATACTAGTAATTCTCATACTACAAGTCGTAATTTGACCTCCACCTTATTGAATTTTTCTTCTCACGATGTACTATAAAACAATTCATCCATGAAATATCATAAGGTAGTGACTGGTGGAAAACAAGCAATTACCACTGCATTTTCTCCATGCTTGCAACCTAGGAATGTGCTTATCATTTATATGTCGCAGCTTCTAGAGTTTGATTTACAAATCAAAATTAACTTCATTGCACAAAAAACAACCCACAGAAATAATAACTTTCTGTAAAGGAATTTATTCTTTGTTCAACATTTACAAAATCTTGGGATAATAAGAAGTCTATTTCAACATATATCTTTATATGTGACAAAATTCAATAAGTCAAATTATTACTCATTATATATATGTAAGAATATATATAAAATTTACAGAACAATATTAAAAGCAATGTTCTGAACATAAGAAAATTATCTTCCTTTAAAAGTATAAAAAATAAATAAACTGTCACAGTGCATCTTCTATAATATCAGTTTCTTGATTAACTAGTGTAAATTACTATTATTTCACAGCCTTCCATAAACAAACTAAATTCTTGCTGGTACATGCCATCAAAAATTGTCCGTCTTCACTTACTGTCATAGAATTAACTAACACCTGAGAAATAAAAAAAAAGCTGATGAATTTACAAATATGAAACAATTAAAACTAAACATGAAATGGAGAATAGCTAACTTAAAAATTATTCAGCAGACTTTAATAAACACATTATTTTACTTTCAAATTAAACAAATGATTACAAAAAACTTTCATAACTGTAACTTGAACACTTAAATTTATTTACTGTCAGATATACATAGGATAATATCTTTTGTTACAACATTTTATCAGGTTAATCTGGCATCATCAGGTACAACTTAAACAATTTTGATACACTGAGGGGAATTTTTATGTATAATGAACATTTGATTTTTATGCAACAGGTTTTTACATTTTCTACTTTATATGTATGCTACACTAAATCATATTTTAATATTCCATCAATTAAACATAATTTTTTCTCACTGGTATAAAAATTAAAGTTAATATTTTCCTACACTGAAAATGTATTTGCAATAGATATGCACAAATTTCTGCTTACCACTAGCCTTGTGCTCCCTCCCACCTACATCCATGTGTTTACACACGTTACAGCTGCATTGTAGCATGCAACTAAGCATGAGACACACCCTTCTAGTGCAGCCAACTTCCTTTATACTGTAAATTTTCATTTTGAGATTAGGACAAACAGAAGCACCAGAAGTTGGGAGGACAGATAGGAAGTGTGAGTAGAAGTATCTATCAAAAATACATTTTCAGTGTACAAAAATGTTAATTTTCGATATGATAACTTACCCCCGCCTACATAATAGCTAGAATCCCATATTGAAATGGTGAACGGACTGGTGGAAAGTTATCTGGATAAGAACCCTTCAAAAAGCATTCAAATAGGTTATATGCATTTTGTTATAGCAAAGCCACATCGGACTATCTGCTGTGTCTGCCAAGGGGAATCAAACCCCTGATTCTAGCATTGTAACTCTGAAGACTTACTGCTGTCCCACCGGGGGACCATTCAAAGAAAGCCCATGGAGTGTGACATCTCTATGTAGAGGAACACACCCATGGAAGAGTGCACCATATCTGTACCAGGTATACTCCTTGTCAGTCATGAAGACATATCGCTAAACAGGCAGAAAAAGAAGCACATCCAAAAGGAACTTGGACGTGCCCGATGGTGTAGAGTGGTTATGGCATGGCAGACCATAATTAGTGGGTCAACTTCAGTCCAAAACCAGGCGGTAATGGGAATGAATTATTTGGAGCATAGTAGAAGGAGGATCCCTACCATCTTCACCTCAGACCCAGGAATCATAAGTGAAGATTGGGTTCTACAGTATAGAGGGAGTCAGCTGTACTAGGAGGATTGGTGCATGCTACAACGTAGCTGTAACACATGGATGTAAGTGGGAGCACAAGGCAAGTTGCGAGCCAAAAATTTGTGAAATATAAAGTCCCATTTGAAAGTTTCATGATTGCAAGCACAAACAGCAATAAAATGTGGAAACTTTGCAGGGAGTGAATAGTTTTGCAAGGCACTGTACTTTAAAGTCACTGAAGGCAGTTTTTTTTTGGGGGGGGGGGGTGAAAAACTATTTACAGTTTTAACAAAGAAAATGTATATACATTTCAAATTAGAGAGGTGACAGAGCTAACTAGTTACCTTATCCAGTTGTAGTGAAAACTGATGTTGGTCTGAGCTGTCAAAGCTAAGATCAGGCCAAGAAAGAATATAAGCTGGAGTCTGTAATCTGCTACTTTTAGACGGACTTTTAGATTGGTTTGTTTTGTACATCCATATTTGTCCTATATCATCTCCACAGGCCATAAATAAGCCATCTGAAATATATTAAAATCACATGTCTTAATATTCTAGAAACAAAAGTTGTACATATAATTTTTCATAAAAATCATTGGCTAGAAATAGAATAAAAAACCTTCACTTAAATGAATTGTACATGCAAATGTAAGAAATACTTCTCAGTTTAATGTAAAGAAGTGTATTTTTTTTTCTTCAGATGTTGTCAGTCTGGTGGTTATTAGAATAAATAGCATTTCAGTGAATATGCTTTCATTTCCTACATGACCTGAAAGAGTAAAGTAATTCTTCTTAAAATAGCATCAGCAAAAATTACACAACAGGCAGATATCCTGAAAAGAAACCAGTATGATATTAAAATTTATTGTGTGGTTATAAATTATTGATTTCATTTCATATAGTATAAGTATAATGACAAATCTAATTAAATATTGTAATATCTTAATTGCACAAACTGACCAAAGAAAAAATATTTGCTTTGGGTTATGCATGGTTCCATATTTTCTAGCCTAAGCATCCCTTATTTGACAAACATGTAAAAATTTATGATCTAAAGTTAATAATATTTTGTAAAATGAATTTCATAATGAACAACATTAAAAATAAAAAATAATAATACCACAGACAAATTACTTTATTGAAAATAAAAAGAAGAAAAACTCGGATGACACTTCTAAGTTGATCTCTTTTGTGTTGAGCTGCCACTAGTTGACAAATCAATTCAAGTATTTTAACTACAGATCCTAATCATTGTAAATATTTTTCTCTGCAATCAGAAAAACCTTATAAGAATATGAAAAAATGAAAAACTATTAATAGCAACATTTAACCCTCTCCAGAAGGGTCATTGGTCAAAGTCCATGTCATACCATTTGTTGGACTCGTATTCAAAATTTTATTGAACTACTATTTCATGAATTTATGTCAACAAGTTTGGTATCAAACTGTAGATTATAATTCAAAGTTTAGTATTATGCATTACTTAATTTCTCAATTTAAAATTAAATATTAAAAACACAGTTAAACATTGATTTTTGTGT